TAAACAGTGTTAAAGCACTTAGGAAAGAGTCAAAGGGGCAAGTGGGGGGCGCATATCTCAAACATAGTATTGAATTATCCCAAGCTTTGCAGAACTTTCAATGCGAAAAAAGTTTACAATTAGGAAGACATTTTTATACTCTCTAAAGGAATCAATGAGCTGTAATTTTACAACAGGAAAGACAGTGAACTGTTAGGAACTTCTATATCAGAGCTTTATAAATATTCTTTGGGATGTTATCAACACTTTTGGGATCTACGAATGTTCTATGTTCTATTCTATACTTTTCCCTGAAGATCCCATTAAAATCATATATCTATTGAATACCTTCTCCTGTTAAGCCATTTTCCACGAGCACTTGCATCTCTCTGCCTGTCTCCTAGAAAAGCATTTTCCACTATTGGTACATATTTGTGGATCACTTCACTTTCAGCTTAACAAACACAGCAGTCGGGGGGCTCTCCGTCTGGTGTCTGGTATCTCCTGCTCCGTACAGCCAGCCAGGCCATTGCTTATCAAAACCGGAGCTGCAGCCTCGTCGCCACAGACAGCGATAGACAGAGACAGGGAAAGAGAAAGATAGCTAGATGCCAGTAGCAACAGGCGGAGCAGAGCAGCACTCTTCGTATAATAGGTCGCTGTTATTGTTGATACATGTAAGAGTATGTGCATATGTAAAATATAATATTGTAGTATCTTTGGTGTTGTGTCGATTAGTAAGCGCCTTAAGCTGGGCCAAGCTAAGCCGTTCAAGGCACCCTGCTTATCAGACAGTCGAACAGAGAAGTGTTGCATGTAACGGAAAGCAGTTCTTCAGAGAATCCCTATAGATAGGATCGATGGCAAGTTCTTCAACTGCTTTTGTTTTGGTTTTGTATGTGAATCAATTGAATATAAATTCTTGCCATCTCTTTCGCATGCACAATCGCAGAGTCTCTGTCATTCCACTGTACTCGCCGCACTCGTACTTTATACGGCGGAATTTCTGTGACGAAACGGAGCTCCAACCACACACCAGCAGCAGGCCAGACCAGACCCACTTATTGTGTACACTCGTTCGTTTTTTGTGTACTTTGCTTTCATTCCATTTCATTTCGCATGCCCCGCCGATTGGCGTCATCGTCAACATACACCATCATCATCATCCTCGTCATCGTCATCATTGTGATCGTGATCATGATCGTCATCATTGCGGAAACGTGATGGAATTATGGGAGCATGGTAGTGTGATATTCACACACTGCACTTTACAAAGGGGAATTACAATTTAGAGGATCAAAACGGGGCAAAATAATTCGAAATTCAACATGATCTGCTGTAATGAATCCTACTTTGTTGTCTGTTAAAAAGTTCCCTCTTGCAGTTGCCTTTAAGATAGAGTATTTCTATTTATTTTTCTAACTCAAACAGTTCTTCAAACACTTCACTTTGCAGGGAATTGTGATTTATAGGATCAATATGAACTAGGCAAAATAAGTGTCTGATATTTAATGAACACAGTCTCCCCTTTACAGAATTCTTCAGAGTGCGTATCCAACAGATCTTTCTTTCTTTTATTTCTCCTTGAGATTAAATCTTATAAATATCTCTCTCTCTCTCTCATCTGTACTCCGCTTTTCTCTCACATACTCTCATGTCGTGATTCTTTCGCATGACCTCTGTTTTGTTGCAGCAAAAACATCATCCAGATGACGCTTATCCCTCTCCACATGGTGGTTGAGTGGTTGCATTAATTGCAATTACAAAATGTGTCGCCCCCAGATACATCTATATATATGTAAATATATATGTACAAAAGTATCCCTTATCTGTGGTTTGTTTATGGAGAAATACGATCATTATATGACGCATATGTTTTGGTTTGAAACAACACCGATGATCCGTACCGATCAGAACTATCAGAACCCATTGTGCGCTGGCCGTATGAATGAATGAATCACTCACATATAATAATCCGAATTTGACTCCAATTTGCATTGCATTGGAGGAGAGCTACTGCAGCTACAGAAGAGAGATACTTACACACGTTTCCTGCATGGGGTGTGGTGTGTGCGAAAGGAAAAACTAACATTAACAATAAAATGCATGTCATGTTCAAGGCGACCGGTTGATGGCTGTCGCTTTTCCCCGGCACATGTGTGAGTGCCCCTTGGGGACCCTTTCCAGATTGTCATTTCCAGAGAATTATGGAAAAATTAGCCAAGCCAAACCATCTCCCTCTCACTCTCTCTTTCTCTCTTTCGACTGTCTTTCTGTGTCGTTTTCTTGGGGCATTCGTTAAGTGAATATTGTGCGAAAATTATTATTTTATTTGCATACATTTTTATAGAGAGACAAACACAGCCGCGAAGCAGGCACTTGTGCCTGTGTATAGGATGCACATGTGATTTGCATGTGTTGTTCGTCATCGTTGTTCATGATCATGATGATGACGATCATTCATTGTTGTGTCTTTTTTGCTGACTGTGACATGAATGCAACGACAACACACTGACGATGATGATGAGTGCCACGATGATTATGATACTCATAATGTTTGACTGCAATTTACTATTTACACTTCATTTAGCGGCGACAACTTTAAGTGAAATGTGTCCACATGGCGGCCTGAGTAGTTTGCCTCGTTCCGGCAGTCTCTCTATCTCTCAGCCTCACTGCATCCGTGAGAGATCTCCTGCGTGAAACAATCAGAAAAGCATCGCAATAGTAGTAATAGTAGGGCTGGCCGCTCTAACTAATTGAAAAATGAGCTCAAGTGTGAGGATAGTCGAGCAAGTGGCTTGTGTTGTGTAAGGAGCAAAATCACTCCCCCACTCAGACACTTTACTTCAAGAAGCTTTTCTTTTTTTGAAAAGCTTTCCTTAAGCGCTCGTAGTGCGACTTGAGCTCTAGAGTTTTACATAAGACTAAGGCACGGGTGTCACTCTATGGAGTTGCTTGGAGTATTTTTAAGAGTCTTTTTCCATTACTTAAAATTATGATTTTGGCTTGCATCACACATTAATAGATAATAAATAAATAAATTAGGTAGGATTTACAATAAGCTTCGTGGGAACAGTTGCATAAAGCAAATTCGTTAAAATATTGCTACAAAATTCGGTGAGTTCAATCCATTAAAAGTTAGCTGTGTATTACAATTTTTAGAATTATGTGGGTCAAGATATAAATGTGTTATTGTCACACATAACTCCCCGTTCAAGGGCTAACGAATTGGCCCCCAAAACACCAGGATGTCAATATAAAGAGCACGATTATACCCAGTAGTTATCTGCCGATATGCCTTTCTGAATTGTGAAACCTTTGAAGATACAAAACATATTTCTATTTATCAACACACACACACACACACACACACAGAGATGACGCAAGGCAAGGCCCCCTTCAATTATCTTTTATGGAAATTAATAAATGGCTCAAGCGGATATAAGTTGGAAAAAAAATTCTACAATAAGAAGACTAAAAGAAATCGGAAATATGGGTGCTTTCCGAAGTTTGTCTGCCGTTCATCTAGATATACTTTTTTTTAATTATAAAAAAGCTTGAATCAAAAGAAAAAAAACAGAATAAACTCAATGAATCGAAAGGCACACACACCCCGAAAAGAGCACCCGAAAGCGTAGACAAAATGCAAATCGTATGGAGTTCGCGTCTGGGCGATAACCCCCCGCTATACATATATCATATCAGCCGAAACCGAATCTGAATCCAGAAATATATGTGTGTCCGTCTGTCTGTCTGTCCCTCAGTTGATACGGGGCCTCAGTACCCCTCCGCTGCATAATGCGAGAGCCTCACTGAAGGCAACACCTCCGTTTGGGGTTGTCTTCGAAATCCAAATTAAATACAAAATGAGAGAACGGAACCCCCTTCGTCACTAAGGTGACGCTAGTCCCCAATCGTAGCTTCGTTTCAGAGCTACAGGTACAGCCCAGAGGGGCCTCCCTGTCGCTGTGTTGTGTCTCTATAAATATTCAACGAGTAAAAGCGTTGAGGCTGACGGACACTGGGGCTTGAGGCTCTCGGGGCTTGCTGTTGTGTTTGCCGTTGCGCATATTTAACCCTTGGGTTAAGTTAAACATTACGATTACGTTTTACTTCGCTTAATTTTGTGCGCGTTTTCCCCATGGTTTTCCATACACTTTACAGCACCAGCCCAGCCAGCTCTTACTTTTCCCAATAATTCAATGGAAGTTCTTTTGGGGGTTTCGATTTCAGTTTCTCTGTCTCGATTTTAACTCCCTGAACAGAGCAACGGAGTAGCAGCAGCAGCAGCGGCAGCAACAAGTTTTTTCCAATCAATAAACAAATTATAAACATTTATAATGATTGCAGCAGGGGCTGGCTTATCGGTAAACGAAAAGCAGCTTGGTCTTATCAAGGCCATAAGCGCTCTATTTATAATTTACCTTCTAGCCGTCGAAACGATTAAGGGGTCTCACACTTTTGGCTGCCACACGTGGCACGTGTTTGCCCACAGCAAAAGGTGTGCCGCACGATCTTGCACCTTGAACAGTTATTCAGTTGACGGCAGCCTCAAAACTGATTTGAAATCATTTTTAAATTGTATCATATTTTGCAGCGTTTAATCGGCATGTGAATTATTCAAGGACAATCAAAGAGAAACTATTAAATGAATAGGGGTCAGAAAAGGTCAGAATGGATACATAAAAGAGATTATTTTGCCCGGGATCATTCCGGGATCGATGTGGAAATCAGAAGATGGATCTGTGTTAGAACATAGCTTGGCAGAACCTCGAGCAATTTATTTTTCTGAGTAATCAAAACCTTATAATATAACTTATTTGAAGAACTTATTTGCAAACATTATTTCAGTAAGACAGAAAATATGTGTAACCTTCGGAGAGCATATTAGTGCCAAGATATCTTCGTAGCTCGTATGGGTAAGTCTTTAATAATTCTTTTAGACAACTTTTACTGAATATAAACGAACGAGTTGGTGAACAATATTGCAATCTCCTTTAAGAGTGTCATTCACTTACCAGATTCATGCAGCTCGTGCTCCATTTCCTCCACCTTGTTGATCTTCAATAGCTGCTGTCCATCGGTGATCCTCAGATCTTGTGGATGCTTCATTATATGGTTATAGTTTTAAGATCCAATCACATAGTCAAAGAGTAATGCCCCTGCAATTGCGAAGAGAACTGTCATAAATCAATCAATCCATTAACAGAACGAATTGAACGAACAGAAAATTAAAGTTCCAATGATCGGCCGATAATCGAAAGTGAAGTACATATCCCCATTGGTAGAACTATAAATATTACACACATTGTAGGTGTCAAACAAGTCGAGTGCCTGACAACCAAACGTTTCACATTACAAGCACCAATTGGAGGGCGGGCTCATGGGGTTTACGATCCCATATCAGTGATAGTATGCCAGATACACCTCACCAGGCGCCCATAGCCCACAGAGAGCGGTCTTTATGGCCGCTGTGGGCTATAAACCAAAGCGAAATACACTTTTCCCTGCAGACATGACGTGTGGTGTACCACTGTACAGACTGCCAAAGCAAAAAAGAACCACGAAATCATAATCTTCAGTGGTTTATTGACTAGCAGAGTCACAGATAAAAAGCCACACAATCCCACCTACATTTACGCTACGATAAGTTCTGCCAAAAGAAAATAGCAACAAATAAAATCATAGGTACAAAAAAATGCGCTCTTCTCTCATAATAATGTTTCTGATTATCAGACATTTATTGTTTTTTTTTTTTGGTGCTTTCGCTCTCGAGTGCCAGAACAGCCGATAAGCCTCCCCAGAGGCCTCTCTCACTCTCTGCCGCTCTTATCATGCCACTGACGCAGAGACCCCCTCGTACGCCTTGTTGTCACCTTTGAACGCTCGTGACTGTCGCGAGCCGATCCATGGGGACCAGTCGGTCGGTCGGTTTGTCATTTCATGCGAAAATTGTAGATTGTTTATCACTTTCACTGTCGCCCATTTGGATATTACAGATAAGCTATGGTACGGGCATGAGCATGGGGGAGATGAGCATTGCCAATTATCCAGTAATCCGCAGTGTTGCCATCGTAGCTATTATCGTATTTTATTTATATTACTCTTGGGTATTTAGGGGATTTGCAGTTGAAAGATAGTAAAGTGTTATTCGGCTTCGGCAGCATTTTCTCTTTATGTTGGAACACCTTGCCACCTGCGAAAAATCACAGTTTCCCTTGGGATTGAACTTCAACTTTGTCATTAGTTTAAACATTATAAAACAATCATTCCAATACACAACATCTTCGGTTACAGATCAAATTAATTTTGCAGGAAATACATTCAGAAATTCCACTAGAAAAGTAAATTTCGAAATCCAAAGATCTTGCAGCAGTACTCTCGATACGAAATTAACAATGTGTTCACGCGATCCGGCTTCGAATCAGTTGATCGATTACAAGAATAAGGATTCGGAGGTGCAGAAGGAGTGCACCACAGCCAGCGGTACGCCGGTGGGTGTGAAAGATGCCATCATGACGGTGGGGCCGCGTGGACCGGCTCTGCTGCAGGACTTTGTCTACCTGGACGAGATGATGCACTTTGACACGGAGCGCATACCGGAGCGTGTGGCGTATGCGAAGGGTGCGGGTGCCTTTGGCTACTTCGAGTGCACCCACGACATCACCCGATTCTGTGCATGTTCGCTCTTCGAGAAGATCAAGAAGCGCACGGCCATCGCCATGCGGTTTTCGGTGTCCTGCGGGGAGAGCGGCTCGGCGGACACTGTCCGGGAGCAGCGTGGCTTCGCCGTCAAGTTCTACACGGACGACGGCATCTGGGACATTGTGGGCTGCAACACGCCCGTCTACTATGTGCGGGATCCCTCGCTGTTTCCCAGCCTGATCCACGCCCAAAAGCGGAATCCGCAGACCCATCTGCGGGACGCTGACATGTTCTGGGACTTCATGACACTTCGGCCCGAAACGTTGCACGCTCTGCTGATGTACTTCAGCGATCGCGGAACACCCGATGGCTACCGTCATATGCATGGCTATGGGGCTCATACCTATCGCATGGTGAATCCGAGCGGAGAGAGTTTCTACGTAAAGTTCCACTTCAAAACGGATCAGGGCATCAAGAATCTGGACGCGCGCCGCTGCTCTGAGCTGATGTCCCACGATCCGGACTATTCCATCAGGGATCTGTACAATTCGATCAAGAAGGGCAACTATCCCAGCTGGACTATGTACATTCAGGTGATGCTCAACGAGGAAGCTAAGAAGAGCCGCTTCAACCCATTCGACGTGACCAAGGTGTGGCCCCAGAAGGAGTATCCCCTGCTGCCGGTGGGCAAGCTTGTGCTCGATCGCAATCCAACCAACTACTTCACGGAGGTCGAACAGCTGGCCTTCAGTCCGGCCCACATGATTCCTGGCATCGAACCCTCGCCGGACAAGATGCTGCAGGGGCGTCTTTTCGCCTACGGCGACACCCAGCGTCATCGATTGGGCGTCAACTACATGCAGATTCCGGTCAACTGCCCGTACCGTGTGCACGTGAAGAACTTTCAGCGGGACGGGGCCATGACAGTCACTGACAACCAGGACGGCGCTCCGAACTACTTCCCCAACTCGTTCTGTGGACCCAAGGAGAGCTCCCGGGCTCTGGCTCTGCAGACCTGCTGCCCCATCTCAGGCGATGTCTACCGCTTTATGAGCGGCGACACCGAGGATAACTTCAGTCAGGTTACAGACTTCTGGACCTACACCCTGGACAATTGCGGACGTAAGCGCCTCATCCGTAACCTGTCGGAGCACCTGTGCGAGGCCAGTCAGTTTCTGCAGGAGCGTGCCATCAAACTCTTCACGATGGTCCACTCGGACTTTGGTCGCCTCATGACCGAGGCCCTGAACACGGCCAGGATCTCCAAGTTCTAACTGCTGTTTCATATTTCTAATAAATGTTTATCGTCAATGAACTTGTAGCTCCTTTTTGCTTCTTGTTAAGAATCCTTCAAGCTGTTTCCATTGCATACTTTTGGGCCTGCAAAAACCTTGCTTTGGCAGGAATGTTTTTGCATATGAGAATATTTCTCTCTCCCTTATCTGATTACCTAACAAGAGCTGATCAGTTTGTTGTGCTTATCCAAGCCAAGCCACACACACCCTCAATCTGACATGGAGATGAGAGATCTATCATTAGCTTGCCGCTCTGTTTACATGCGATACACGTGGCCCACAGGTTTCTATGGTTGAATGCATGTCTATGGCTACTACTATCTCCGGATCTGTCTGTGTACAGTGCGTTACAGAGCTTTAAAACGAAGCTTGCAAGTCGATCAAGTTTTAAACAGCCAATAAATAACATTTTTTTTTCTTTCTTTGCTAAAATGCTTTTTTAATTTTCGAAATTTCTCTATTTTGTTTTTTTTACTGAGATTCATAGCAAATAAAAGTATAGCTGCTGAAAGTTACATCAAATGTTCACTGTACCTAGGGATGGCTTAAACCTTTTCATTGAAATTCACCTTGAAGTTCTTTCGATTTATAAACTATCAAATATATATTTTCAAACTGTCGCGTGCCACCACGTAAATGTCATGTTCGAATGATTGTAGCCCATGTAACCATGTACCGCACTGTAGCACTGTAGCCCCGTATGCCTGGATTACTCTCCCCTTAATCTTTATTACCGATTTATTACCCAAAATGCTTACATATGTTTGTTCCAACAAATAAAAAACAAATAGGCGAAAACAAAAAAGAATTTGAAAAGTTCTTCCTACTAACGGGTTAGTGACTCCCGCTATGAATCAAAAACTTACTCAAAGCAGTCGTCTTTTTCTCTGTCTGTTTCTATCTTTCGGTCAGACAGAGAGTTCTAACTGGCGTTGTAGCTGTATGTAACTGTGGTTGTTTTTTGTGTTGTTGCTGCTGCTGCTGGGCTTTTATCAGCTTTTGTTAGCGTTATTGTTGTGGCTGTAGTCGGTGCGCTGCTTTTGAGCGCATGAATGAAAGCGAAACAGACGTGAGAGACCAGACCCAGACAAGCACACTTGTTGATTTCTTTATGTGATTCGGGCTCAGTGGCTCGTTATAATTAAAGTCGCTGCCGGGTATGGTGTTTGTTTTTGTTTGTTTTATTACTTTGATTTTGTTGAACTTTTATTATTGTTGTCTGGCTTTTGGCACTTTAATTTTTAATTTTTATTGCACTTTTACACTTTTTGCTGCTTTGGCTGCTGCTATTTCTATGGATATGGCTGTGTGATATTCATCTCTTGCGTTTAATTAAAATCCGGAGAAAGAGCAGACGGAGGATTGCACACACACACTTGTAACAGAATGATTTTGTTCCAGTTGTATAACTGTATAACTGGGCCGCACTGCATATTCATTTATATCAATCAAACGGGGCAAAATAATATGTACTTTAATATTTGTTGTGTTTTTTCTGGCCTCTGCGCCGCCGTCTTCGAACGTCACTTGACTCAACTACGGCTTCGGTGAGGGTCCGTTATAAAAGCGACCAGCGCCAAACGACAGAGAGTCGGTCGCTCTCACTTATCACTCTCTTGCTTTGTGCTCTGTGGTGCTCGCTCTCAGAGCAGCAGAGCGCTCTCCTGCCGCTGCCGCTGCCACTTCTGTTGCTGCATTAAAATGTTACGTATTTGTTTTTGCAAAACAAATAACATAACAAAATATGATTTTATTTTATTGTTTTCATATGGTAATTCATGGCATTCATTGAGCATGTATCTGTGCTCTCTTCGCTAAGGCGCTCGGCTTATTCCACTATCTTTTGCCGTTTCTCCAGACTAGTTGGGGAATGTCATACTACTGGAATAGTACAGTTGATTGAACCCGCTGACACTCTCAGACACTGGCACTCTCGCATTACACATTCCTCACGACTGACAGAACGACAGAGCTAGTCCATCCGGCAGACCCAACATTCGATTCGATTCAATTTGGCGACTGAAATCAAAGTCGCCAATTTGGCCAGCGGGGGTCAAATATTATTAACAAAACACTCCACTCACACACGCGAGCGAGCGCACAAACACGGATAAGGGAACGCGTGTGTCGCAGTCGAAAATTACATTTTATTGTCTCAACTAAAGTTTAAACGGAGCTGGTGGCAGAAATAGCAACAAATACTATTACTGCGAATGATTGTGACGAGAGTGAGAGTGGGCTGTGTTGCCGTTTCGCTGAGAGTGATCGCGCATAGTGCTGCCAGAGTATGACAAAACGCGTCGATGTGGCTGCGCTCTCTCCGACAGCGTTGCCAGGCGTGCGAAGCTTTTTAGGAAGCTTTTGATCCGCGTGATATTTATATTTATTTTGGACTGTATTCATAATATTCTTGATCAGATCAGAGATTCCTTTTTCAATTATATGTTAGAAAAATTTGTTTATTGAGATATTTTTTGTCCAGAGCCAACTGGTACAGTGGGAGGGGTCACTCTCCGTATGCGTGTATAATATAGGGGCCATTGGGGGATTTTATATGGTAATTATTACATTATTTATATTTGAATGCTCGCTAAGAATATATAAAATTTATATGTATAGTTTAGTTTAGTGGGTTTGTTTCTTGCATTGTTTATGCACTAGAATTGTACATGTTTGTGTGTGAATATTTACAGTTAAAGTTTAGTACATGTACTACATGGATTACTCGTTAAATAAATTATAATAAATTATCATATATGGATTGGTGTGGGGGTGAGGCCGATAGAGACCGAAAAAGCCGCCTCCACAGGGTTATGAAATGCGCTCTCTGGGCGACGACATTTTAGATGTTTTTACACTTGTAAAAATTATATTAAATTATTATTATTACGTATTACGCGTAGAATTAACTATAAAGAGAAGAATGGGGGGGAAATACGATTATAAACCATTCAGATTAGTGGTAGGACAGGGAGGCAAGGGGCTAAGAAAAACAATATGTTAAATTGCACTAGGATTTTAGGAGGATTTAGTTATAGATTTAGATATAGTTATACATTTAGATGTAAGCTTAAAAATTGTCACGTGCTGGAACTTGAATACAGGTACGAAATTTAGCAACGATCGCGATTGTTGTACGCCTGCACCTTGGCCACGGTGCAGTCGAGTGCCGCCCGTATATCATTGAACACGGGCACACCCTGCCGCTTGGCCAAATCGATGAGGTACGAACGTCCGCGATTGTAGTCCTTGATGGCGGCCACAGTAAGCTGAAAGCAAAACCCAAATGATTAGCAATCTGAATTCAGTTATAATCCCATTCAAACACTCACCTTTTCGCCACCGAGCACACAATCCTCGGGCAGCATTTGTACCGCCAGCACCACATTGTACATTAGGCCAATGCAGTGGGCGGCCAGTGTCATGGGTGCGAGGGAACGCGTCTCATTGGTGATCACAAAGAGCAGCACTCGGCTGGAGTCGAGCAGCGCGGGATTATACAGGCTCTGGCGCACAGCCACCGGCGGCAGTGACCAGCTGAGCGACTCCTCGGCTACCGTCAGCTCCTCCTGCTCCTCCAGCTGCAGCTGATTGCCGCGGCACTTTCGTCGCGTGCGAACAAACGAGCGCTGCTGCTGCTGTTGCTCGTGCTGTCCAGGCTGCGGCTGCTGCTGTCCAGGCTGCTGTTGCGGCAGCACCTGTATGCTCTCGTGCAGAGCCGGGCTGTGGAAGCTGATATTCTTCGACTGCAGGTAGGGTACGGCCAGTTCTTGACGCCATTTGGTGCGCATCACACAGCTGCCGCCCAGATAGACATCGCGCAGATCGAGTCCGCCACAGCAGAGGGCATCACCGGCACTGGCAATGGAGCTGCTGCTCGAGAAGACCGAATCGTTGGAGTCACTCTCCTCCTCCTCGTTGGCCAACACCACAGACGCTGGGAGCGTGCCGCCTCCTGGCTTGGTTTCTATCGTTTTGGTGGTGATTATTTCGGTTGTTTCAATGGACTCGACGTTCAGCAAGATCTGTGGCTTGGTGCTTTTACCTAAACTGCTCGCGGCGGCTGGCTGCGGCGAAGATGTGCCACTGTCCCGGCTGCGACTCAGCTGCTCGAACAGGCTCTGGCGCTCCAGATCGTGGCCAATGCCGCTGCTGCTGTTGGACGGTACACTGGCGTTGCTCGAGGTGCGCGAAATGTTCTTGCTGGCCGAATAATAAATGTCCACATCGGGTGCTGGAATGAATGAATAATGAATTAATCGATTGTCAGAGGAATTAGCGGGTAGCGGGTAGCGGGCACCTACCATTGGTAAAATAAACCTGAGGCGGTGGCACATTGGTGCCCTTAATGGGCGAGATGCAGCCGCTCTCGTGTATCTCCTGCTGCAGGACGGACAGGTAGGCCGAGATCACACAGAAAAGATCAAAATCGATGAGCTCCTGGTTGGCCATAGTCGGCAGCACTTCCGCATCTTCATTTGCCTCGACCTTTGAGCTGTGCGTTTGCAGGAATTTCAACGATTCTCGCTGATTAATTATGATCTTTGTTAGATTATCTAAATTAACTAAACTCTGAGCATAGCCTAAGAATAAGAGAGCACGTTTACACTGTTCCACAGTGAGTAGATCGCTTTGAGGATTCACACGATCAAAGGCGCCTCGCACGGTACTGCAAAGTGGTTACAAAAATATTAATAACATAAATTAGCATTTAAAATCCAAGTGAAAACTCACTCTAAAATGGAAGATATCTTGGACGGTGGATCCCTGATGCCCGACAGTATTTCCTTGGTACGCTGCAAGCCCGAGGGTATGTTCTCCAGTACTGGCAGACCGCGACGGGAGACCAGCTCCTTAAGTATCATCTGATTGCGTGTCAGATCGAGGTATTCTCTGTGAAATGAGCAGAGTTTTAGTTGAAGGAATGCGCTTGCTTTTGCTTTATACTTACTGCTGCGAAATAGGCTCATTTAGTATCTTCTGATTTGGTTTATACGGATGCAAAACCAACACCAGCTGCTTGCAGTTTTGACCCGCTATGTGTGCCGCCTCGATGGCACCAGCAGATGCGCGTGTTTCCGAATCCATAACAAAGAATAATACACGGGCCTTTTCCTTAGCACGATGCTCCAGCTCGATGAGATCGGGCGTCCAATCGGATACTTGCTGTAAGTACAAACAAAATCTTAGATAAATAATCTATTTTTCTTTGGCTTAGCGTGGGCTGTCTTACAGGATTATAGAATGAAATGCCCAGCTCCTTCAGCGCTGGTATGGCAACGTCTGCGCGCCAGGTTGTGGGATTGCAGGAACCCCCAAGGAACACCTCCACGGGCTCATTGCTGGCGTTCTTTTTCTTTTTGGTATCATCGACACTACTAAAGGATTTTGTGCTACGCAGCTCGGTGCCATGGTTGTCCAGCTTCTTGACATTGCTATGGCTGTAGGCATTATCCTCCTGTTGCTGCAGCAGAGAGTCTGTGCCCGCGGACAGTTGCTGATATTCGCAGTAGTTTGATGTCTGATTCGAAATCGTTGAAGCACTATACACAAAAAAGCACACAAATTAGTTAAATGAAAAGCCCAAAAGGTTCGTCAAACTCACCGAAAACGCTTCAGATCTGCGGCCAATACACAAAATTGTCCAAATGTCAGACCATTTGGCTGTCCACTGCCACCCTTGCGGGCCACTTTCTTGGCCGTTTGCAGCATTTCACTAACTATAGATTCAAACCAAACAATTAGTTGCATTTCGTAATGGTTAGACACTGAACTTACTTTGCTTTTGGCTGGGATGGAAGCTTAGCTCGTGAAAGAGCTCCTGCGTACGCTCATCGGGCACCACATTGCATCGGGCCTTGGCACGCCATGCATTCAGAACTTCTCTGTAAAGATAAATAAAGAATATAAATTATTAAAGTAAAGGCTTAAAAACAAAGCAATTGTCTTGGGGTAGGAAATCGTTTATGGCAGCAATTTATTGATCGCTGTTGGATAAGATTTTCAGCTGCAACGCTGCTCATGGAATACTGGAAAAATGCCCAAATAAATCAGTTCGGGAAACTGTTTTGCTGTTGGTGCTCCTTATAAGCAAACAATGAATGAACTCCCTCAAGGACAGCCTACAGGCCCGACTCGTACTATAAGTGGCAATTTATAATGCCAGTCACGTTCCCAGTGGCGACACATCGAAACATGTGCCACCCAATCGAGTACGCGAGCCATAAATATAGGGAAAAATATATTACGAGATTTTTGTGGCAGCTTCGTCTGCCTCTTCTTCCGTGTGTTGGCAAGACGTCGTCATCACCAGAAGCAGCAACATCAGCATCAACATCAACATCAACAACAGCGGGGGCACTGACAATTGCATCATTTGAACAAAATGGAAATTTAAATATCGCGTATACGTAGCGTATGCCACTAAGTTCTTTGGGAATCGGAGACGCGGCTGTATAAATGGGTTTATTATTTATCGTATATAGCCATATATATCTCTGCGACGCAGTTACTTGATTTTCATTTCATTTCAAACCGTTTCACTTTGTTTTTGTTTCTGTTTCTGTGTTTTTGTTTTTAAATATTTATATCACAATTTTTGCGCTCATATCTGTATGGTTTTTGCGTTGTGGTTTGGACAAAATGTTGTAATTGATTGCGTAAATCATTTGTAAATGATTTTTTTTGATCCTACAAACAACAATCTAGAACTACCCGTCAACAATGTTTCATTCCAATTGAGTGGAGAATCGCAACTGAAATACAATTATTTATATTTCCTGCTGAGAAACGTTTTTGCATACCGGGTGGTGGGCCTTATCAATGCTAGAGAGCGGCCATCGGGCAATGCCAAGAGGAAGAGCCGCTTTGAGCGGCGATTGGGAATGGAAAATGACGTCAGTTTCAAGTCCAGTGACAAATCAAAGTCAGAAAACAAATCAAATTTGAAATATTTATTGTTGTTTCAATGGAAAAATACACACAAACAATTTATGGACAAAATGATAATTAACGCAAGTTTGTAAAGTGTAAAGATTCTCATTGAATCAATTAGCAAAATCATTCGAATTACCAAAACAATATGATAGCTTTCGTCTGATTTCTGTTTCTGTTGATCGTTTTCCATATAAGGAAAATGCCTTACTAACTGCGACACGCGTTTCCGCAGTTAAAACGAAACACTAGCCATAAAAGTCGCCTTACAAATGTGGTTTTAAGCCACTGAATCACAATCCAAAATTAATTATTTTATTTGAATACCTGTAGAACAAAGTTGAGCAGTTTTCCCTCCCTATTAAAACATAGAAAAAACCAAATAGTGAAATCTACAGCTTGGCAGACACATCTCAAACGAGGAACAACATTTTTGGTTTTATGGCTGCCAAACAAAAAATAAAAAAAAAACTTGTCTGCAGCCCACACACCTGAAGCACCTGAACACCGAAACAAAAACCATAAACTATGCAACAAAGCGTTAAAAGAAACTCTTGCAACATGTTGAGCCAAAGAGAGACATAAAGAGAGAGAGTCAAAGGCAAATGGGAAGCCAAAATGCCAAGCGATTATGTCAGACAGAGCGAGAGACTCAAGAGCCAAGAGCCAAGAGCAAGTGCAGGCGACGGTCAAACGTGTCTAGATGCCAATTACATGACTGCATCGATCTGCAGCAGCTGGTGGAGGAGAAACCAACTGTTTCTGTGGCACGCCCACAGCTTCACATCATTCTCTAAATTTGGACCGGCCTCTGCCTCTATGATTTTTGTTTGGTCTTCTATTTTTGGACTGATTCTTGGCTCTTTATTCCTTATGTGTGGGTGAAGTTGCGCCATAATCGTAACATTTTCTCTCCCCTCATTTTGTTGTTGCTGCTGCTGGTATTTTTATGGCAAACAGACCGATGCGAAGCCGAATTTATGCTTTGTTTACAAGAACACACGAAACAAAAGCATCCATAAAAGAGGAAGAGCATTGGCCGACAGACGATGAACGAATTTGGCTGTGGAAACATTTCCGGGGAGGGAACGAAAACGAAAAGCAAAAGTGTGTGGCAACAGATCGATTCGGACACAAGGAAGTGCAGCAGAATTATCACATCGCAGCATCAATGAATGCAATTAACAGATTTTTGCTTCGTAAACAATAATGAGACCAGTTTCGCAACAGAAATCATTTAAATTGAACGGAAAGCTCTGCCGGTTCCGGCTTCGTCTGTAAAGGATGTGTAGGCTGTGAGTCTCGGATGTGTAGAATCCCAGCTATTGTTCGTTCTTTATTCATAATTTTAGGGTCTCACGCAACCTCTGCCTTAAAAATCACTTCAGGTAAAACCACCTAGAGAAAACATTTCTTTCGATTCATTAAACAATCAAAGCATTTAAAATAAACAAAAAACAGCAGAGGAAACATTGCTGGATGGCTCTCCGTTCCAGAGGTTTGAGCCCAAATGGATTTCGTGTCTGATTCATAATCAGTATTCATGATGAAATGCGATTCTAAGAAGCCGATGACATGATGTGTGCTACTAAAACTGCGACGACATTTTAGTGGTAAACAAGTTTTGCGTTCTTGTTTTCCTTTTTATGCTGTTTTGGGCCAATAGAGCGGAATAATGCGTTAACAAAGGGAGCGTATCGGATATGCATACTCCATGGAGTCACATGAGAGAGAGAGAGTGGCATGAGTAAGATAACAAAATATCTGTAAAGTGTGGTGGTCCGGACTACCGGAAATACGCCGTGACCTATTAAATGCTCTCTGGGTTTTGCAGATAAGGCCAAGTTAACAAGCCAAGGTTCTCCTTGTCCATGTCTCGGAGTCGTAATCTGAAATCTGCTGTTGCTTCTGGCCCTACTGCTGATAAGGCCTTAAACGTTTCTACATGAATCAGGGCAACGCAATCTATGGCTTGGCTATCTCCCAGATAATAAGTGCCTATAATGCAACAATTCAAGTGTACATTTACTTAATATAAGCCATTTATAGGCTAAAGAGCTTGATAAGAAGCGAGAAATGGAAACTCCTACTCCATGATTAATACTACAATTATCCGTTTTATATTCATTGATCAGAATGCAGCAGCGCCCCTCGGTCGGACATTGCGTTCAACGTCTTTCCATATTGTTATCTGTCAGCAATGCGACTCCCATAATACATTTAATAGTCTTGTTTATTACAGATAAAACGGATGTGTGATAGCTGTGAAAATCCATTCATAAATATTGTATTGAATGCGCGTTTTCCTCATAAATGGGATTATCCTGATATTCTAATTGGCACAAATGGTGTATTAATTGATGTTAATGTTATCCGGAACAGCCTAACAACAAATTCTTTGAAAACAAAGCTTCATCTGGAAGTTTTTTATTATTATTTTTTACATGTAACTTATACGGAATAACGCGAACTAAAGTCAAGCTACGGATAAGTGTTTTTGGGGCATTTCTGCATAAATAATTTCAAAAATGAATTTCTTACTTAACCGGACTGAAGGTACCCGCGGATAAGTTTAAATCGGAGTTAACTGACCGAATATATGCATATATAATATAAACCTCACTTATCGACCCTTTGAGACACTCAACCTATATATAATGATCACCTTTATATGGTGTTTTCCCATTTCCGAATCCAGTCAGCTTATCAGCATTTCCTTAGTCCATTTGTTTCCCTTACCAGTCAATGGATAAACCACAAACGACACACCCATAGATCAGAGTATTAAGCAGATCAGCATTTCCGCAAGTGATGAATGAACGTCTCATCAGGCACCGCATGCCGCATGCAATCATTATTTTGGCCTGGGGCCAAGCTGAATGACGCTGCTTTCGACTAGTATAGAAATCTTACGAAAATCCATTAAAGAAGATGCATATAGGGGGGAAAGATGGGCAGGGGTAGGGAATACGCATTTGTGTAAATGATTTCATTGACCCACGCTCCCTGAGTGCCTTATTAATGAGTAATAAACAATTTCCGAATACAATTGAACAAAATGACAAAGTGTACATTGAACTCTGAGCCTGAGAGAGGGAGAGAGAGAGAGAGAGAGTAAGCGAGTGGGAATGTCGCTAGTTTTAGCCACAAACAAAACAAATAATCAACATTAACATTAACACATGCGCCTAAGCATACAGTTTACCATACCTTTTGGCAGTTTGTAAAACAAGCGTGGAGGCGATTACGGGTTCTAGTGATGAGCAAGCCCAAAGATAGAACTATCGAAAAAAGTTATTGATCAATTTCTAATATACATCTAATATAGGCGGACCCCCTCTAAATCCTAAATCGCAAATAATGACAAAGCAAACAGTCATTAATAATTATGGTTATGGCGAATACATTTGCATGTAACACTTGGGTAACGTAACACTACTCAGGGGCAAAATATTTGTCTACAATTTAATACTAGAACACATGTCACACGCGAAAGGTCTGTCAGTCTCTCTGACTCTCTATCGGGGCTAATCAGCATCGATCTATGTATGTACATATGTATGACTGATAGATGGATGCAGAGTAAATCTCACTCGAAATCCAAAGGTGTGTTAGATATTTGCACAAGACTTGTGGCGCCTGTGGCCGGGCCTACGATACGATATAAGTTAACTCTTTGGCAGGTAACAGGTAGCCACAAGGGGAGGGGTCAGCAGCAGCAGAGGAAGAGAAGAGCTGGCGGGGGGCAGCTGCAGTGGCGATATACACCGTTCCGTTGACGACTCGTTTCAATCACACACACACACAGCCACACAGAGAGGCACGAAACTCTCTCAGCAATAATCGATGATGAGGTCATAACTAATAATAAAAATGACGGCGCTCTGCCGCCGCCTCAGTGAGTAAAAGCAAACAAAGAGCAAAGACAGAAAACACACTGGCGAAGAGGCAA